CAATCATAACAGTAACAATCATAATAAATAGCAGCAATTAGGAGCCCCCCCCCCTATGATTCCTGAAGGCTGCAGGTTGCCTCCCCCCCCCATAAACCAAATGGCCCCAAGCAGCCAGGAACCCCAGACCAAATTTCTTCAGGTTGGTCAGCTGGTCAGCCCTCGACCCCGTGCCCCACGTACGTACGTATGTACGTACCTTCCAGGGGCTGATGGCTCTCTGCAGGGGCATGAGGCCGGCCATGTAGTGCTCCTGCAAAGTGGGGGGGGGAGGCAGTGGAGGTTGGGGTGTCGCTTGAAAGAAACAGGAAGCCCCCTCCCCTGGGAAGGGATACATCCAGGAGATAGTGACCCCTTCCAAGGACAGCAGGGACCCCTCCCCTCCTCCCCCCCAGGTGCTACTTACCAAGGGGAAAATGAAGCAGTGGAGGTTGGGGGTGTCATTTGAAAGAGGCAGGAAGACGCCTCCCCTGGGGGGGGTGCTACAGCCAAGAGGCAGTGACCCCCCCAGGACAGCACCCCCCCCCCCGCACGACTTACCAAGGGGAAAATGAAGCTCTGGGTGAGCTCCAAGAGGTGTCGCCTGAGGAGGGCGCTCTGGGCCTCTGACGAGCGCTTCTTGTGGATGCCCTGGGGGGGGGAGGGTAGGGGGCGCACATAGGAAATGCCTGAGAAAGGCCTTGTAATGCCCCCCCCCCACACAGGGCACCAAAGGGGAGACCTAGGGAGGGAGGGAGGGGGCAGGCAGGGGCCGGCTGGGGGAGGGCACCAGCACTTGGCCAAAGGCTGCCCTGCCCCCGCTGCTGACCTTCACGAGCTTCTTGACCAGGGCCTTGTCCTTGTGCAGGAAGGTCCGGTAGGCTGTGTAGAGGCCTTGGGGGAGGGGCAAGGGGGGGGAGATAGAAGTGGTCATCAGGGAACCAGCAGGGGAAGGCTTCCCTTCAGGGGCCTGGGAGTGAGCGGGTGGTCTCGCAGCGCATGGAGGGACCGGGACCCCCACCCTCTCCACCCCCAGGCTCTGCAGCGGCCCATCCCCAGGGGCTTCATCCCCAGGGGCGGGGAGGGGAGACAGACTACTGTTTACCTGTGGGAAGGAAGCCAATGGCCTTGCAAGCCCCCTCCCCCCCCCCGCCGACTCACCAGGCTTGGCGTCCAGCGTCCTCAGCTTGGCCAGCTTCTTCAGCTTGACCTGCTTGGGGAGTTCCCCTGCGCAAGAAGGGAGCAAGCAGAAGGGGCGCAGTTTGGTGGGGGGGCTCCTCTGCATGGGGGGGCCCTCCCCACAGATGCCCCTCCCTCCCTTCCCCCCCAGAAGCCCTCCCCCCTTTCTACCAGCCATCTTGAGGTCTCCGAGGCGAAGGACGTGAGGCCAGTGCTGCAGCGTCTTGATGAAAAAGGGGTTTGTGACGCCCAGGAGGACGTTGGGCCTGAGGAAGAGGAAGAGGAGTGAGCGGGGGGGGGGGGGGGGGGGGGGAGGGGAAGGCAGGGGCCACCCCCAGGGAGACTCACGGGGCCTGCGTCCGCGTGGTGTATTCCTTGAACTCGCTGTCGTGGATGGTGAAGTAGGGCCGGTAGTCGCAGCAGTACCTCAGGGGAGCCACGCAGCTGCGGGGGGGGGGGGGGGGGAGAAAGAGTGAGATGTGGGCAAGGAGGGGGTCCCTCAGAAGCCCCCTCAGCCCAGGGAGCACCCAAGGAGGAGGAGCAGGGGCCACCACCCTTGGCATCTGCCATGGGTGCACCTGTGTTGTGCTGTGCCCCCTCTCCAGCCAGAGGCAGAGGTGGGTGAGAAATACGGTTATTATTATTATTGGGTTATGATGATGAAGGTGATGATCTGCCCAGGGCTGGTACCTGGTGAGGGCGAGGACCACCTCGGAGGAGACGGCGGGCGAGGGGCCCACCACCGCCAGCGGCTCCCCCAGCAGCACCAGCTCCCACAGCATCTGGACGTGGATCAGGACCGGCTGGAAGCACCTGCCCGGGCGGAGGGAGGTAAGGAGGGAGGGAGACCAAGGTCGGGTCAACTGTGGCCCCCCCAACCGTGCCGTGCTGCCCCCCTCCCCAGAGGTCGGAGGCCGGCGCAGGCCCAGCGTGGCTCTGAGGGGACAGTGGCCAAGGGAGGATTTATGTATTATTTATTTGGGGTTCTTTTACCCCGCCCTTCTCACCCCGAAGGGGACCCAGGGCGGCCTACACAGTAAAGGCACGATTCGATGCCGACATCACAACAATCATCACAACTTACAATAAAATTCACAATTACTAACATCATCATGCATTATTCCAATAAAAATAAATAAAAATCAATAAAATCACTACAAACCTAGATTCCTCCCTTGCATTGTCAGTGTTTGCTGTCTCATAGATCCGTTTTTTAGTACCATTTCGTCCATCCTGCTAGTCTTTAATTGCCTGGTTGCCCAAAGGCCTGGTCCCATAACCAAGTTTTCACCCTCCTCCTGAAGGAGAGGAGGGATGGTGATGCTCTGATTTCCCCGGGGAGTGAGTTCCACAGGTGAGGGGCCACCACTGAGAAAGCCCTGCTCCTCGTCCCCACCAGCCTCACTTGTGAGAGTGGTGGGGTCGAGAGCAGGACCTCCCCAGATGATCTCAAGCTACGAGGTGGGACGTAGCGGGAGATACGTTCGGACAGATACACTGGACCGGAACTGTACAGCTGATGCCTGGTGCCCCCCTGCCAAAGGCCAACACCCCGGTCATGCGCTGGGTCAAGACCTGCCCCCAGCCCAGCCCTATTGAGTCAAGGAAGGCAAGGGAGCGCTCACCGGAAGAGGTCCACTTCACAGGCGCTGGGCAGGAGGAGCGGGGCCGGGAGGAGGTTCTGGGCAGCGGAGGAGAGAGAGAGAGAGGCGGGTCTGGCTGGATGGATGGAGGAGTCCTCAAAGGCCAAGGCTCTGGAGCCCGTGCCCTGTGTTACGCCACTTCTCTTTGGGAAGAAGCAGGCAGGCATCCTGGTGGTCCGAGGGGCAAAGGGTCGACCGAGGGGGGGGGGCGGGAGGGAGGGGGCACCTGACCAGCAATGAGCTCCCGTGGCTCGGGCGGAGGGAGGCTGCCAGGGAATGCCACCCAGGCAGGGGTCTCGGGATGCCCAGAGGCCAGGCCAGCCCTTCCCAGCCCAGAGGCCACAGAGTGCAGAGGCCAAAGGGCGGGTCAGAGGGGGAGTGGCCTGGCACCCCCTCAGGGAGAGGAGGAGGAGAGGGGTGGTCAGGCATTTGAGGCTGGGGGGGGGCACAGGGGATGACCCTCGCCCCAGACCCCAGGCGGCGCTCACCTCTTGCTTCAGGGGCAGCACGGGGCTGGCGTCGGGCCTCTCCACC